TTTGATTGGCTGAGCGCAGGTGTCAATCAAGCAGAGAAGAGGTCTGGAGGCAGAGAGCAGCCAGTCGGTTGTTTTGCTCTCTGGAGGACAGAGCTCCGCTGCTCGGTCCGTACACTCACACACACACACACACACACACACTCACACACACACACACTCACACTAATTCATTTACGTTTGATAGGCTGGAATAATTAAGCTAAAATACAACATTTCTATATTTAATTATAAAAATTACATTTAAATTCCCATGTGTAGATTACTTATTATTTTAGAAGTACATTTAATTATAACAGGCTGCATCATTCATATTATGCTGTAGCTCCAATTCAGAAAAAGCCTAATTATTGACCAAGAATTACACACATATTTATCTAGCATTTAAAACTTTCAAAAATAATTCTATGCACCACAATTGAGCAAGAATATTTAAATAAATTCCTTCAGCAAAGTTTATCACATGGACTTTTATGAATTATTTTCATATTAAATAAGAGAAGAAACGGTTACTTTAAAATTACATACATATTTTTAAATCTCATATTTTATTCTAATTACCCATAGGCAGATGGACACTTTTTTGGTAAACTGATGAGTTACAATTATTTATTTGTTATTACTAATAATCATATTTATCATAACATATATAATAGATTCTTTTATACAGTGTCAGACCTGCAAACTGCACGATTACAAAGACAATAGGACTGCATTTAGAACATTAACATTTCTACTCTGTTAATTTAGTCATTTCCCTAAACCAATTTTAGAAAATAAAGAACTGTCGACTACTTAATTAGTCAGGCTACCAGAGAAAAGGTCCATGCTCGAATTTTATATTGTAAGTGTTTTTACACAATTTTGCACAAAAATTTAAGAAAACAAAATATTTTTAAGCAGTTTAAACAAAAATAAGTTTTAAATATTATCATGTAAGGGGATCTATTTTGGATTGTCCTTGACCTCGGACGAAACTAAAATCTAGCCAGTGTATAAAATTATTTTCAAAGCCAATTTCACATGTGATTCCTCATTTTAAAACTCACAGGACAACAAAATAGTCCCATGAAAATCTCCTTCGGTTTCCCGTGAGTCTTTGCAAGAGGACCGAAGCGTACGCATGCGCACTGGCCTACTACACATGACGTGTATTTCCACCAATGAGCTTCATCCTGCGAGGAGTACGTGGAGGTGATTTAAGAGCTCTCCCCCAATAAATCTGTCAGAACTTCACAAAGTTGATTTAAATGTGTTTCACATCGTTATGAAAATACTTGTGGATTAATCAAGTGACTGCACGCTGGCGTCAGATCAATTGGAGCAGATTACTCTTCACAGCTTCTTTAAAGAGACGCGATTTGGAGCGTTTAAGTTCGGGATTTGTCGAGCCACCAAGTCGATGTGTAAAGGGTGCATGAGACTGGACCGCAAGTGTCACTTGATATTTTCAAGGTGTTTTTTTTCTTTTTCTTTTTCCCTTTTCAATATAACATTGCAGGAGTGTGGTGCAGCGCATATGAGCAGCTTAGGATGGACTTTAGGCTGCAGCTGATCTCAGTACTTGCTCAGGCTGTTGTGTGAGTGTTACATGATTGAAGCAGTGTTGCAGCTGCAGCCTCAACGAGCCGTGATGTAGCCAGTTGTGAGAGAAGCCCCGTCTGGCTTGTCTGCTAGATTTGTGCCTGTTCTGCAGGAGGGCTGCTGAGACAGCCAGGCTGAGTGGCAATGTGTGTTGAACTTGCTGTTGTGTTGAACTACACTTGTTACAGCCACTAATTATTGTCTTTATAATTGAATACACTTTTCTGGACTTCTTTGTGATGCAGTGGCACATAAAGTCTTTGCAGAGTAGGCTATTTCCAAAAGGCTTTCAGTGGGTTTGTATTGCACAGAGAGAAAAAAACTTCATTACAGCATACACTCAGATGTAAATAGGTCTGAATCTGTACTGTACCCTTGTGTGTTTTATACTGTAGAGACACAGGGGAGGGGTTTTCATCCACTGTGTTCCCAGTTTGCATTTATAAGGTGATGCCAATATATTTTTTTCCCATAATTATTTGTCATTTTATGGCCACGCATGCAGCTCTATATGCCATGTCAACCAAAGGAATAATAAGAAAACGGCATGAATGCAAAAATCTCAAGTAAAGACGGTTTTGAAAGACATGTAAGTGGGTGTATCATCATATTTTCAGCTGCTATAGGTCAACAAAACAAATAACTAACTTCAGGATATTAAATATTTAACATCTGTTATGTGCTAAATGAGTTTGCATACCCATAAATAATCACAAAAAACGCATTACGTTTCATCAGTTGTGTTTATTATGTAATTTCGCTAGTGAAAAACATAAAACCTGTATTATTAAATACCATTATTCGGCAGCAGGGGTCGCAAGTGAACCAGATTAGATTCGTTTATTGTCCAGCAGGGGAGACTGAAAACCTGAATGTTTCCTTTGACAACTTGTATTAACATTTACATCATCATAAAGACAAAGAAATGTGTTAAATTAAGCTGTACCATTATCAGAAGAGATTTTTGTAGGGGCATTTTTACTAAAACAATAACATATAAAACAGCAACACACGGTTATATTATGAGACTATTTATACTTTTAGTAAATTTTGCTTTACTTTCATTTGGGTTAATTTCATGTTGTATCTTTAGTAAAGGGATGCTTCTTCCTCTATGACTTAATTTAGAGCAGGCTACATACTGTATGTATTTCACTGTTTTCTTCCACAATAAAAATCTTCCAACAGTGCAACCAGTGCCTGTTTTCATTCTGTCTTCTTCTGGTCTTTTAATTTAACTCAAGGCAGTCTGTAATCACGCCACTGACATAATCTCACAAAGGCCTTGGATAACAAGCAAACAAGAGTTTCTCTGACCAGACAGAGACCCTGGATGTCTGACTGAATTAAGCATTATACAATCCACCCTTTTAGCACGGCCTTATTGCTAATACAAAACAATGGCAACCTTTAACATTTGTTTGGTACAGATAGTTCTCATTGTGACGTAAGACTGTTAACAAAACAACAAACAAGACAGAGAAATATACCACATGTGATTTAAGATATATTATTTCATCTTAGCATGAGTGTAGCCCATAGACAGATAATAAAATTAAGGAAAAACCAACATAAAGTGTCTTAATAAGGTGTTGGGCCACCACGTACTGTCTGAACAGCTTCCACGTGCATTGACACTTCAAGCCTTTATAGCGCCACTGGTGGCCTGGACCATCATTCTTTCAAAATATCTTCCCTCATTTTGTCTTTTGATGATTGTAGTTGGTCTAAAATCTCCCATAAGTGTTAAAAGAATTGAGAGCTGGTGAATGTAAAGGCCATAGTATTTGATTGACATCATTTTAATGCTCATCAACCCCCTCAATAACCTTTAATAAGGACCCCTTCCATTAGGATGTTTCAGAATGGATCATGATCAATGATCACTTCAAACAAATTCTTATTGATTTACAGTGACCGTTCACTCTAAGAGGACAAGTGGACCCAAACTATGCCAGCAAAATGCCCGCTACAACATACCAGAACCACTGGATCCCCTCTTTGTTGGGGTCAAAGGTTAATATTTTCCTTTTAATTTGCCAACCATCTGTCTAAAGGGTACTTATAGACATTAGTCTTACTCAAGGTACTTTGTCTTATTTCATAAATGTTTGAACATACATACAAAGATGTTGTGAATGAATGTGTAAAGCAGTTATAAATTAACATGCTACTTTTTAGTTTTGGCAAAACATTATAATTCAGATCAGTTGATCAGCATCCTGGGCTATAAAAACATTTGTTGAAATGTCCCAGTGATTGCTACATGGCCAAACATTACCAACACCATGAGTCTAAACTGCAACATATTAATCTAAGAAGGACTAAATTCCTTGAATTTCTTTAACAACATTACGTTTTGTCAAATTGTGTGTCAATACAAAGATGACACAAATTATGTTCAGTGTTAAAATTCACTCTTCCTCGTCTCATTTTTTGCACACTGCCATATGTCGCTGTTGCTAAAGTAAAAGTAGCAGTACAACAATGGAAATGGGCTCCCTTACAAGTGAAAACCCTGGAGTCAATATTTGAACTGAAAAGCTGAGTTTAGAGACATAGACAAGGCACAGAAAAGTATACCGCATAGGACTTTCCATCTATTATTTAATCTTACCATCAGTTTATGTCTCTGTTTCTCATGTAGAAGACTGCAGGAGCCTACAGACAGGTGACAAATTAAAGGGAAAACCAACATTAAGTGTATTAGTACGATGTTGGACCACCGTGTACTGCCAGAATAGTTTTAATGTCTCAATTCTACAAGGCTTTGGAAGCTGTTACACAAATTACATTCAAATCACAAAATGTCTTTCCGTGTCCATTACGGCCTTTGGATTGTTATATCATTGTATAATATATGGTAATAGCCATCTTGAGGAAAGTGCAAAGTTTGAACTCAGTAATTTGAGATGTCTAGTGGGTAAGGTGTTAAGTATATGGCAGGATTCCACCCTTGGCATTCTCCTTAGTGGAGGGAGTTGAGGCATATGGTTGAACAAGTTCAGGCTGTAATTCAGTCACTTGCCACTGGGCCAAAGAAAGGGGGACAGATGCAGGTCAGTAGCACAAACGTCATGCAAATGCAGCCAAGCCTCTACCTCTGAAAAATCCCTCAGAAGCAGAACCAGAATCAGCGAAGGGCTGAGTGTCATAACTTAATCCTAAAACGAACAGTAGGCCTATCTCCTGTGTATTCCTGAGATGGCAATTGTTTGATTTGTGCTTTTTTTCGTGTGAATATTATGTAGTTAATACCAGGGCGGAGGCTTGCTATAGTGAACAACTATCGCTGGCTGTCATTGGTCAGCATCCTGACAGACAGATGTGTCGTCCAATCACATTCTGTTGCGGTGGACGCTCTGGACCAATTGGTATGAGTAATGCAAATCTGAAACGAAGTTCCCCCAGTAGCAGTGCGGTACCACCAGTTAGCTTTTCATATGTTTCATTTTCAGTTTAGTTTTTAACGTCAGGAAACTCGTGATAGCTAGTTACCGCCGACGAATAACTTCTCCGCCATAAGATACGGAAGAGAAACGTGTTTGCAATGTTTGCGCCCAGAGGTTCCTGTTAACTGGTAACTAAAGCTGATAGCTAACTGCTAACAGCTAGCATAGCTATCTAACGATTTCGCCGGTACAGGCGGACCTCTTTGTCTGACAGGGGAAGGCGTGCTCTTTTGTTAGGCTTTTCCCTTTGTCCTTTCGGGAAAGAGGAACTGTTGGGTCAGGATTTCACAGTTATCTGCAGTTCTGAAAGTATTTAGAAAATGCAAATCGCGAAAAAATACTTCACAGAAGGCCTGATTCAGTTAACGATCTTACTCAGTTTGATTGGAGTTCGCGTGGACATCGACAGCTACTTAAGCGGCTACTATTCGCCTCTGACAGAGATTAACTTGGGTGCTAGCTCAGCCTACATCCAGACACCCTTTCACATTTTGAGAGACACTCTTGACGGAAACAGTGTGCACCCAAAATGTCCCGAGTTGGACTATTTCTTTGCAAGTCGCCGGCTGCTAGACGAAGTGAGGACTCTGGGTTCACCGCGGTTCCCCACACAGCTGAACGCATGGCTGGTGCACCAAGTGTCTGCCACTGACAAGGCTGACAGTGGGCCTTCAACCAGCAACAACACTGACTCCAACACAGGGTTAGAAAGCCCTGGAGACGAGGCCAGGGATGTCAGCGAACACCTGCCTGCCAGTGGCCAAGAGGTGTGCCAGACAAACCCTGAACTCGGACAGGGGCCTTGTGGCGCTGGAGCCTGCGGTTTTCTTAAAGAGGCAAGTGTGATTTATGCACAATAAAGTTAAGCAGGCTTTGCTTCTAACTAAGCTACACTATAATCTATGACAGGTAATTCTGGCTGTCAGCTTATGTATTTGACTAACTGAAAGTCTAAATAGTCAAAACTTCCTCGATGGCTAACTAATGCTAGCTAACTAGCACCACTAGCATACAAAGATTGATGTCCATCCATCAAGTATTATGTTGTAACATTTCCTGGTGTACCAGGAAACAAAGTAACACGGTATTCTAAACTGCTGCCAAAAGCTGATAAGTGCACTCGCTGTCATTTTGTGTGCGTGCCCCAGTCCTGTGTCACAAGTTGCAAATCAGTGATCAGTTAAGTCAGGCAGTGCTTACCCAGTTAGATTAACGGGCTTACATTCATCATGACAATTTGGTAACTTAACAGACTGACCTAACTGGTTTAGGCACTTTGCCATAAAACCATTCCATGAGACAGTCAAGCATTACAAGTAATAGGTCTGCTGCAGCTGTCACCCTTCACTATAAAACTCGTCACAATAAGTCCTCTCTGAATAGTTAACAAACAAAGAAGACCCTAATAAGCACACAGGTGTAAAGCTACTATTTGCCAAGTTGGTCACTAACTGTTATTATCAAAAGATAGGTGTCATTTCATGTGACAGACATCTGTATTTTGTGGCACTTTTTGTGTTTTAAGACTTTAATCATACCCTTTATATTCAATTCTCCCAGTAATCCAGCTTTTCTAGCTTAGGGTAGAAACAGCTGCTTGGTGGATGTTATGTCCTGAGGGCAGTTGATGTCGTCAATTGTGTAACTATATCCCCTCTCTTCAGACTCAACCACCAGCTGTGGGCCTTGAGAGGTGGAGAAATGGGGCTTGGATCCACACCCTGTTTGCTTACACAAATGCGGTGGTCCACAGTTGAACACTGCCCCTCCTTGAGTTCTTGTTCACATGAATGATGTGATGTTGACACATCTTTCACTTTTTTCATTATCTTTTTGTGAAGATAATTCATCTTAAAAAATGCTGAGGTTTGTGGGAGGTACGCTGTTTCGAAGGAGAGGATGACACCTGTGACATTTAAAAGTTAAGCTACCCCAGTAGAAATCGACAAGCTCAGACAGAGCTTCGGCAGAGCTTGGCTGGTGTAGAGTACAGTTCGTCTTATTTTTGCCTCTAGCATAACGTAAAACCTGATTCAGCAGTCATTCTCCCTTTAGAACAGACGAGAACCCACCGCTCTGTAATAATCTGGTCATGGAAAATATTTTTTTGTCTGTGTGTAGAGATATGAATAATTTTTCAATGGTGACAACTGGTGACACATATAACTGTAGATGTATCAGGTCATCTCTTAGGGTAATTAGCTTAACCGTTACACTAACAAAACAAACCATGTTTCTGACATAACAGAAGAATCGTATTCTAAGATAGACAATTATCTGCAATGGCTGGACTGGGATTAATAAACCAGTAATGTAATGATCTTTGGAGGTCTTTGGATGTCCACTAATAAGTTGTTTTCCTTATCCTTTTTCCTCTGTCCTGAATCGTCTGACTATCTTGTTCCCAACTTACCAATCTCTTCATCTGCCTTTCTTTGTCCCCAGGAGGTTGATGCTAAAGTTAAAGAGGAGGAGGAACCAGCTCCACTCACTCAGCTGGCTCACAGTTCCACACTGGAACAAGAGGTATGAGTCTGCTTTGTCTCAGTTCTCTTCATCAGTTGCTGTATACACAGTGCATCACTGTTTCAAAAAGTTGTTTTCTGAATGGAAGCTATACTGCATTCCTTTAAGAGTATACACAATAGTGTTTCTCAATCTGTCATGATTCATGTGTCATACCAGCATAAATTGCAGTCACGTTAGGGTGTTTTGACCAAAAAAAATTATGTTCTCACGTGACGTCTTTATTCAAATTGCACCGTTCTGATGACCGTGCAGCTTCAGTAACACCATGTAAGAGTAGGGATGTTGAAGCACAGTAATTACTGTATGTCTCTGAAAATGATACTTACTTGCTACTACTTTCTGTTCCTTTTACAACAAGCTGTGTAGATAGATTCAAAGAGGACATTTCTCCTGAATTTTTAAGCGTTTACTGTGCTATGATGGTGGACTTTGGCAACAAAACTTACCACTTCATTATTTTTGTCCATTCCAGAGTCTCCTTGAAGGCATCACTGCACTGTCCAATCCAGCACGTCCCCATCCTCTTACCATTGATATTGACCAGCACTGGAGCAATTTACTCTCTGTTGCCGACCTTGACGTAAGTTGCCTGCTCTTATTTACTGTATTAAGCCTTGTGTAAAAAGACATTACATTTACACAAGGCTCGATAGCAGTCGTGCAGGAGTTCAGATGAATAGGCTAGGAGCCATCAGTGTGGTACAGTGGAGAGCCTTATTGTGCCATGTTGTTCTATATATTGTGCCAGGGGATTTTTGAAGCTGTCAAAAATAAAGCGCAACTAACATGTATGTCTTACATGTAGGACTTGGACTCCTTGGTTACCGAGCGTCTGTCAGACCTCGATGGTGACATCACCAGCGCCATCAGCCAGGATGTCAGTTTGCATGATGCTATGGTGTCTAGTGCTGGAGTCTTTGATGTCGCTTCTGGAAGAACAGAGTCCAGGACAGTCAACCAGCAACGAACCCTCTTCCGACTGGAATCCACTGGCTCTTCGCACTCAGATGCTTCACCAGGGATGGCTCTGGGCCTCGCCGCACTCCCCTTTGCTTCAGTATGTAATTTAAGTGGAAATGTGTCATCACATAGTACATTGGGTGGCTGCCTGGATGAGGCAGTGTTTGATCAGATCAATCAGCTAGGTCTGGAAGGCCTGGACACGATGGACACCCAGCTGATGAACTGTCTGGAGAGCATAGATCCCCAGGTCCTCGAGGACTTGGACTCAGACTCCGGTCTCTCCTTGGAGAGCAGCTCTGGAGGTCCAGTCTCTCCAGGTTAGTTCAATCTCTACAAGCCTTTATAGATTAAATGTCTTTATTGGTGTGGCTTGCGATGTTTTTCATATGTACTAACATTATCACAACTCGTCACTCATCCAGGCTCATCTGAGATGTCATCGTCGTCCAGTTCATACTGTGAAGATGAGTGTGGAGCTACAGGCTACAGCAGTGAAGTGGAGTCACTTCCCTCCAAGGGCATCCTGGATTACAACTCAGCATGGTCACCTGTTGATCTGAGTGAGAGTGTGTGGCATGACCACAGCTACTCGTCTCCTGCTTTCTTCAACCAGCCATCAGTTACACTGTCCCACAAAAGCATCAAAGAAGAGCCTCTCAGCGATGATGATGATGGGTCACAGTTGGAAGAACGGGAGCTGAGTCGTGATGAGCTGCGTGCCCGTGCCATGTGCATCCCGTTCTCTGTCCTGCAGATTGTCAACATGCCTGTGGAAGAGTTCCTGGAGGTTCTTGATGGTCACGGCTTCTCCCCAGAACAGGTGACTCTCCTGAGGGACATCCGCAGGCGCGGGAAGAATAAGTTGGCAGCACAAAACTGCCGCAAGCGCAAACTAGATGCAATCACAGGGCTCCAGGAGGAGGTGGATAGGCTGCACGCTCAGAGAGACAGACTACTGAGGGAGAAACAGCTTACAGCCAAGACAATGGGTGCTGTGGGCCAACAGATAAAGCAGCTGACCAGAGACGTCCTGGCTCGGCTGAGGGATGATTCAGGGCGGCCCCTGAACCCAGAGAGATTCACCCTGCAGTGCGGGGCTAATGGGAGGGTTGTAGTTCAGCCTGTAAGGCGACCTGCTGTTTCTACAACAGCTGGAAACAAAACAGACAAGAGGAAGAAGGAAAAAAAACAATGATGCAGTATTTCCAGCTGAGACTTGAGTTTTTAGGTTTTTGGACATTACAGAACTTACTTGCCTGACTCTGGTTTTGGGTTCTCCTCTTTTGTAAAAGTGTGTGTGGATTCACCACTGTTGGGAGCCTGAATTGGCAAAAAGCTGCAAAATGAAAGACACTCAGAACATAAATAAATAAATAAAAAAAATCTCTGTAAATAAAAGGTCTCATGGGAAAATGTAGCTTACACACTGGACATTCTTTGCTTATTCAAGATGAACAAGGCAGAAGGGGTGGCTTAAGGGAACAGCTAAGCTGCTGGCAATGCTATCAGTCTCTTTTTGTGCCTGTTAACATTAAAGTCATCGTCTTATCATTTTCACAGACAAGCGTTTGCAAGCAGTCAGGCGTCAGTGTCAACGTGGCCAACATTGTGACAGTTACTGGATAGAGATCTAAAAGGGTGGATTCTGTTTGTTTGTTTCCATGTGATCTTCCCTCTCAGCATATACCTACTCAGTATAAGTAGGGGGTTAAAGATTGTATTTATTAAAGTTTATGAGGTTATATGCATCACAAAACTGTCAAGGACAGTATCTTTTTTCAAAATAATAACTTAATGTCAAAGTGATAAGAATATTGGATCATTTGCTATCTAAAGTTTACAGATTTTTTTGAGACATTGGAGGGCATGTTGTATTAGGCAAAAAAAAAACTGAAGTGACATTTAAAAACAAGATTTTCTTCTTTTCCTTACATGTCTTAATGACATACATTATACCAATGATTGAAATGACAAGGCCTTAATTTTCATTTGAGAAGTATTTTTGTTATTGCGCGTGTACATGATCCACCTATGCACATCATCATAACAAAAATGTTGTATGAGTCTATCATTGCATGTTTAAATTAATATCGATTAATTAGTTTCGAGCACAATTTGACCTCACCCCTTTCATTTCAAGTACTATAGAGTTTTGGCAAGATTATATTCTACCTCACGGCTTAGTTTTTGTTCATTTTTGGCTAAATTTAAAAATGCCCTTCTTTTAGGGGAACTTAAGTGCACTCGTTAATGACAGATTCTTCATTGTTAGTGTGGCCCTAAGTAGACATAAACTATCCCATTTTTAAAAAAAAACAAATACAATCACCAACTCTATTTAATAAGTTTGAATGTTGTTTGGATGTTGCTTTTTTTATATTTGAGATTATCTGAGAGCAGAGTTGAGTATTAGAACTTGCCATTTTTTCATGGGTACACTGCTTTGTATCGTCAGCTGAGTGAGTGAGATAAATGGAGCATTTAGTAAATAATTTTTTTTTAAGGTTTTTTTTTTTTTTTTCTTTCTGTGTGGTTTGGCGAGAGTTTACTTTGCTGTTTGTATAAATTTAAGTTTCCTAAATGTTTTTCTTTGTTTCTGAAGGCAAATGTGTTTGATTGCATGGTGATTGTTGGAAGTATGATTTTGCTTTGAGAATTTGAGTTGCTCTTGCAGGTATTGTTCTTTCTGATTAAAAAAAAAAAAAAGATGAACTGACTGTCTTGTCTTCCCCAGCGACCCCTGTTTGAATATTTAGTCTTGGGCTTCCTCAAACTAAATGGCACTTTTTTAATACCCTTAACTTTTAAACCACAATTACCGGGACATATTCTGACAAAAGATGTAATCTGAACACTTATGAGTGCATCTCGAAAAATTAGAACATTGTGAAGAAGTTTAATATTTTCCATCAGTTGTTTAAGAAACTAAAAATGCAATATATTGTAGACTCATTACATGTTAAGTTAAATATTTCAAGTGGGGATTTTTGTTTTAATTTTAATGATTATGATTATAGTTCATGAAAATCAGAACTCCAATATCTCAAAATGTTAGAATATTTCATTTTGAGTTTGGGCAAAGTACTGTTTAAAAAGCGTAACTATTGTGTATCTCTCGATGTAGTTCAGTACATGCAACTATAATTAATGGGGAAGACTGCTGACTTAAAAGTTGTCCAGAGGACGATCATGAACAACCTCTACAAGGAGCGTAGGCCGCAGAAGGTTACTGATAAAAAAAAAAGGCTGGCTGGTGGCAGAGTGCTGTGTCACAGCATATTTATGGAAAGTTGACCAGAAGAGAAAAGTGTGATGGGAAAAGGTTCACAAGCAACTGGGATGAGAGGATTGTCAAGAAAAGTCAATTCAAGAACTTGGGAGGGTTTCACAAGTACTAGGCTGGTGTCAGTGCATCAAGAGCCACCAAGCACAGACGTCTTCAGGAAAGGGGTGACAACTGTCTCATTCCTAATCTGAAGCCACTCTGGAACCAGAGACAACGTCAGAAGCGTCTTGACTGGGCTGAGGAGAAAAAGAAGTGTGATGTTTCCGCAGTCTGTGAGGATTTGGGGTGTCATGTCATCGGCAGGCGTTGGTCCACTGTGTTTTATCAAGTCCAAAGTCAACACAGCACCTACCAGGAAATTTTAGAGCACTTTATGCTTCCATCTGCAGACAAGCATTGTGAAGATGCCAATTTCCTTGTCTAGCAGGACTTAGCACCTGCCCACAGCGCCATAACTACTACCAAATGGTCTGCGTCACCATGACATCACTGTGCTTGATTTGCCAGCTAAATCACCTGATCTGAACCCTTTAGAATCCCACAAGAGGAAGATGAGATACACCCAACCCCAAAAATACAAACGAGCTGAAAGCTGCTGGTAAAGCGACATGGGCTTCAATAACACTCAGCAGTGCCACAGGATGATTGCCTCCATGCCACGCCACATTGATGCAGCAATTCATGGTAAAGGAGCCCTAAACTGAAGCTGGACATTACTATATTGTTAATCCTTTAGTTGATTGATCTTAGGAAATATTTTGAAAGGTTGAGAACCTTAGTTTCTAATTTCCATAAACTAATTCTAATTTCCAATTGCCATAATCATAACATTTTTAAAAAGGCTTTTAGTTTTTCACTTTACGTGTAAGTAGTGGAGAATATATCAAAGTGGACTTTTTTTAACTTAAAAAATGCAACTTTGTCGTGATGTTTTTGATGCACTGGCAAGTAGCTTCTTTTTTTTTACAGCTTTAATTAAGCATTTTCTTCTTTTAGGGACAGGAGAATTGATTGATTGATTGATTGATTGATTGATTGATTGATTGATTGATATATTTATTTTGAATATGTAAAGACAAGTACCGAGTAAACAAAGAATTAATATTATATATATATATAAATGTGTGTGTGTGTGTGTGTGTGTACATATATTTATATACATACATATCCATAGACATACATACTAAATAAAATCATATAGCAAAAGAAATATTCCACAATTCTGGACTAGGTCTACATATTCAAAAAGGAGTGAGAAGAAGTATATAAACATTTGATCCCACCCCTTTCCCCTAAATTATTGATTGATAATTTACAGTTTCCTAAATGTGTATATAATCTACAATTTCTGTTTATACATATAAGATACAATAAAAAATATATACAATTTTGATACTACCAATTTATATATATATATACACACCACACGCATATCCATACATACACATATTATTATTATTATGGACATACAATACTAAGGAGAAGCTCAGGAATGCAAGCGCGTTTTCCTTCCAGGCTCCCGTAGAGGAGCGAGCAGCAGCTTTTGGCGCCTGCCCTGCACTGCCGCTCACTGCCATACCTGATATAAAGAGAAAGCTGACCGCGTGGTAGAGACGCCTCCCCGAAGCGATTCCTCTTGTTTTTTTACGGTGTGTATGCAGAGCTTCCGTATAACAAACGTTGCACCGTGCAATATTCGTGCCTAATTTAATTGCATTGCCAAACGGGTTGCGGTGCCAGTGGTTTTCCACGTTGGGCCGTATTGCATGCGGAAAGTCTGCGCAAAGAGAGCGACTCATAACAACATTAGCTGCTCTATTGTTTAAATTTTACTGCAGTATTTTGACCTGAACAACGTCAGTTAGCTTAAAAGTAGACGTGGCTATTTTAGGTGTTATGCTAGCTGTATCGAAGAGTTATTTGTGCGTAATTGTGTTGCAGAGCGGGCGTTTGCCTTAATTGCCTTGTTGCAATTGCTAATGTAAGAAAGTTGTGCCTTTTCGTCATACCACCGTCTCAATTGACGCCGGGTTGCAGGTGGCATTGCAAAGTCGAGGAAATTTTGGTTTAGAAAACGATAGCTGCAGTTAGCCCGCCGGTTAGCCATTTTTGCATTTGGCTAGCTCTGAGCACTACCTGAGGCTTAGCTAATTAGCGCCTTTTTTTTCTTTTTTTTTTTCACATTTAAGTGGTATACTGCGTCCAGGGTGTTGTACTTGTGTACGCTACTGGTCATTTATTTGAACAACAAAATGACGACGGAAGAAACTAAAGTGAGTGTGTTTACGGCCCCAGCATCCGTGGCGGATTTGGGGCCTACTTATTCTCAGTGTGGAAAAAGAGCAGCAGCTTAATGCATAAATGTGACGCAGCTGACGTTGTCGCACTCCTCCTCGTTTTCACAGCACAAAATGGGCAAGAAGCAGAATACCAAGGGTAAGAAGGATGCACAGGAGACACAAGAAGAACCTGAAGAGTTTGTTGTGGAAAAAGTACTCGACCAGCGTCTTGTCAATGGGAAAGTAGAATTCTACCTGAAGTGGAAAGGATTTACAGAGTGAGTTGCCTGGGACACCTGCCCCCTCCTGCTGAGCTGGAAGTGCTTCCCTGGTATGGGGTTGTGCTATACTTTTGTCGTTATTGTGATTGCATGAAGGAGCTGCTGCTCTCCATACAATCTGGTCTTTAAAGTTAACTATATTACTTGCATATTAATTGATCAAAATCAGTGTTGAGGCATGATGCAAATGTTGACACTGTTCCTGCTCGTTCAGTGCTGACAATACCTGGGAGCCAGAGGAGAACCTTGATTGTCCAGAGCTGATTTCAGCGTTTTTGGAAGCACAGAAGAACGTTAAGGAGAAGCCCGCTCCTGTTAAGAGGAAGGCATCCACAGATGAGCCAGAGACAGAATCCAAGAAGAAAGATGTGGTGAGTTCAATAAGTTTTGCACGCGTGGGGCAGACCTGCCTTCCATCCAGTGCTTACACATGTGCAGAGTTAGGAGACAGGTGGGTAACATCACTGCAGACCCATCATGCCCTGCACATAACCTGTTGTAACTCCTCCCTCTTGGTAGGTACTACTGAACACCAAAACAATCAGACAAAAAACTGTCTTCCCACGGGACATCAATCTTAACAATTAAATCAGTCTATAATAACAGGAACAACTCCTTTTGGATCCCTAATGCTGGACCACCATTTATTGCAAACCTGTTAATATTTTTATACCAACAGCATTGGTCTTTGCTCCATTGCGCTGTCGTTGATCACCTCATGTATATAAAATGTCAATAACGCTATATTTATTAATAACTGTATTTATTCTTATCAGAATCAGCACAATGCGTGCTACACTTTGGTCCACTTTGAACACGCTCCTTTACACATATGTGTGCTGTGCATAAGAGTTGCACTGATGTTCCTTTTTTGTTTGCCTGCTGCCCTTGTCTGAATGCATGCATATTTTTTTTCATTTTGTGTGTGTATGTGATTGTATGTACCTCTTTGAGAGCAAAGAGGAAAAACTAGACACATTTCTTGTATGTTTATGCATATGTGGCCAATAAAGCTGAATCTGATGCTAACAAGCTGTTCCTTAAGGGATCACATTGCTTGATTTTAGCAATCTTTAACATGACAGCCATTTCTCAAAATACAGAGAATTGTCATGTTGGGTAAAACCAAAACGGCGAGGATGCATATGTGTATCAATCAGTAAGACTTGTTCTTGAAGTGCACCTGCTACCAAACGTATGCTGGTGTCAATTAAAGAATCAGATGCAAAGTTCTGACGGTGTACACGAACCGCTGCCCCAGTTTCTTGCATATCCTCATGTGTAATGTTGTCACCACACTCAGGCTGAGAAACCACGTGGCTTTGCTAGGAACCTCGAACCAGAACGAATCATTGGCGCAACAGACAGTAGTGGGGAGTTGATGTTCTTAATGAAATGGTAAGTTACAAATGTTTAAAAAAAAAAAAAAAAACTCTTTATGTCAACACAGTTAAACAGTCATCTTTTTGCATGCATTGTGTAAATGCCAAGAACATGACGTCCTTTAATTTCTGAGAAAGTTTATTTCACTGCCATGTTCATTGCTGGGCAAAACGGTAACGGGTAAGTCTCACGATAGCACATTACCTCGCACAGGAAGTTAACGCATTGCTCTTGAAACATTTAGTATTCTCATTCAGTAAATCCATTATTGCTTGAGATGATACTGTGCCTTTGTTGTGTATCTCAGAGATAAGAGTATGTCTTCCTTTAATGCTGCATCAGAATTTCCTTCCAGATCAGATGACTTCTGACTGAGGGTTGAAATAATGAACGTATTGTACGTGAGGGCCCTAAGTGGCTCTAATGCTTCTCCCCTCCCCCCCTCCTCTCTGGCATTTTCTTAGGAAAGACTCAGATGAAGCAGACTTAGTTCCTGCCCGTGAGGCCAACACTCGCTGCCCTCAGGTGGTCATATCCTTCTATGAGGAGAGACTAACATGGCATTCCTGTCCAGAGGATGAAGCTCAGTAGTTTTTCCTTTGGTCGCTGCAGTCCCCTGTTCCACGTGCACCCTTTCCTCAGGACGGGATTCTCTCCTCCGGCTTGCCTTTTAGTTTTAGCAACCTTTAGTTATTTTTGAAGACGATTGAACATTCGCATCATTTGGCGGTCGGGGGGAGCTTTGTTGTCGTACATTTTCTGCAAAACTGATTGAACAGATGGTGATGGTGTTGTTGTGTATCATTAAAGAAGTCTTCCGGTATCATTGAGATTGACTGATTCCTTTGATAGAACCCATCACCCATATTCATACACGTTCAAATGTTTTGAGTTCTACATTACGGCTGCTTTAATCTGTAAAACTTTCAGTCATCTCTTTCTATGACGTTCTCAGTCTCATGTAAGATGCATTTTGTTTTGTTTTTTCCACTACGCTAGTGCTGATGTTTTGTTTCAAAAGTACGTTTTGTATACCGTCTGTAAATATTATTTTAAGTTCTAATAAAGGTTTTATGTGGCCAGATTTCCCGGCTCAGTTCTTGATTTTAAAAAAATGTGTTAGAAATTTTCAAAATTGAAACAGTTGTCAATATGATGAAAGTTCATGTAGGTTTTCGATGGCGTTTGAAACAGTACTTGGAATCCATTCGATGTGTTTGTTTTTGTACGTTTTGTGTGTCACATTTTTACTGTTTTTGTCTCCATGTTACACTTTGTGTTCCATGTGGCACTCTGTGGTCGTGATGTACGAGTTGTGTCAGAAAAGTTTCAGGACTGGTGTCACAAAAGATATTTCAAATCAAAACTACAAGTTTTCCATTTTGAAGTGATCCCTCAGGAGTCACTTTCCCAGCCTTCTCTGCCACACTACCTTACACTTCTGGAAGGATTCTTCCAGGATCCTCCACAGTGCCGTTGTCACAGCCATCTTGATGTCATCTACGTCTTCAAAACAGGTCCCCTTGAGGACCCCCTTGAGCTTGGAGAAGAGGAAAAAATCCCACGGAGCCAGGTGGGGTGAGTAGGGAGGTTGCTCCAGCATGGCCATGCTCTTCTCAGCCAGGAACTGTGGGATGCTCAGGGCATTGTGAGCAGGCACGTTGTCATGGTGAAGCAGCCACGACTCTGGCCTCTTCTCAAACTGAACAAAGCAAACGCCGCAGGATCTTTTTGTAGACGTGCTGGTTGATTGTCTGAAGGGAAAACTCATAGTTTGGGTTTGAAATACATCTTTTGTGACACCAGTCCTGGAACCTTTCTGACACACCACATGCATATATTGATGAATACATCCTAATTAAGTAGGCTTAGTGGCAGTGAACCCCTTTAAATGTTGACAAAATTTCATTGTATCCCCCCCCCCCCCTTTCTCTAAAGGGAGTAATGTCATCCCGTTTGACCTCTACTGTAGAAAAGGCTTTTACTTTTCTTGTCCGTAATAGGTTGGGGATTTAAGATTTTTGCAGAGTACTGCTTCCCTCTTTGCCAAATCATGTTAGTAAAGTAATGTTAACAGTAGTGGGAACTCTATTGTCCTGATGACATAAATACTGTAAATATACTTAGAATGTTATAACAGCACAATGCATTAATCAGAACTTAAGCTTTTTTTTTTTTTTTTTCATTTGTGACAGTATTTTTTAATTGTGACTTTGAATCTTTCGCATCACTGACTACCTTTGCAGCAGTGTGGAGAACTCATGACTGGCATTAGGGCATGGGAGATGGACTTCGGACCTTTGTGCATTAGTGTGGATGGCCTTTCTGTGCCAACTCAGAGGTTTCTGTTTCCATGGAAGCAAATCTCTCAGGGTCACTTCTAAATGACAGATTTACTTGGGAGAAGGATTCTAAATTAACTAGTTTTTCTTCTCGGTATGTTTAACCGCCAAAAATGTTAAGAAAGGAAAAAGCTATTAAAGGCTACTGAACTTCTTTCTGCATTTAAGGCCCATTAGAGATGAGTCCTGACATGACAAGAATCCTTACATGAAGGCTGACCTACAGGCATGTTGGCAAACAGCCATATTTCCCGAAAGGCACCTTAATGTTCTGTTAGAGACAGAAATACCATGTTGATGTCAGTATAATGGATGAAGAGCAGCGAGACAGTTCACACAGTTCGCGAACATCTTAAAGCTACATGATCAGTTATAGCAATTTCCACCTTTTGACAGTTTTATATATTGAGTTCAGGAACAGCAAAAGAAATCTCTTTTATGTCAGAGGAAAGATTTACGATAAGTAACACACCGGATATCAGTTATTCCGGTTTTCGCTGGATTTCTTTCAAATTTGGAGCATCTTGATTAAATCAAATGTCTAATCAATGCAGCACACTCATGACCTGTGTGCTGATCTCACCATGCATTCACAACCGACAGCTACATGAGATCTCTAACATGAAAATGTGAAGCTCAGTTACTTTTAATATAAACATGAATTTTCTACATGTTACATCCTGGCATAAATCACCATAAGCTTGATGTCATAGCATACAAATGACTTAAAATACATCTTTTTTTTTCTTCTTTTTTTTTTCTTTTTAATTGCACAAGAGTGACTAACCAGAATCTAATTTTCTGCTCAGATTAATTTCATAACACTGTCAAACTGACAGACTCTTTAACTGTTGACCCGAGATAAAGAGGTCTTTATATGCAAATGACCAGCCTGCCTGAGTTACCTGAAGATTTGTTTAGCTAAGGTCATGTCTCACCATTTCTTTTAAATCCTCTCCCTGGGTGGACTGAATTCACGAATACTTCTAAAAACTTCGGTAAGATCTCCTTGATTTCCTTCTTCTATCTAAACTGTTGCTGCTGTGTAGTGTAGCCTGGTCTTTGCTCTGTCAGGATGGTAATATTGCTGAATCAGACTTGCTGAAAAAGTAACAACAGCAAAAAACTAGACGTTATATCTGATGTTTTGGCAACTTAAGAGAGCACTAAATTGAGAGTGAAGCTGTAAAAACAACTTTTTAACTGGTGTAAATGAAGAAGAATGTACTGATGATTGAATATCCCCCATGTGAGCTTCAGGCCTGTTGCTGTTAACACTGCATCGTATTGCGTTTACTCCTAACTCTCTGTGGAAAATGCTTACTTTGTCGGTCCAATGACAAGTGACTACCTCAATAATTAACTGCGCCCTGCAAAATGTAAGCCAATAAAATCAACATGCATTTCTAATTTCCATCTGGAAGGAATCATACTCGGCCTATAAATCAAGCTCTGCAGCAGCGGGGTGGTTGGAGGCTGCACTCTTAGCTTATCTTACAGTTACCGTCGTGGACGGCCAGAGCTGTATTCTACGTATTAAACGCTTATCAGCCACGGTTCAACGAAAAATGTTAAAAGTGTATCAGCTTCCACTTGTATGAAATAAATTCTTTTGTGGTTGAATGAGAATGTGTTCTTTGAGGGTGTCACTCAACAGGAAACTGGAGGAAGATACAGTTTTTTTTAAATAATTGTTTCTTGGGATTCAACTTAACATATCTAACAAAATCAAAGCCTTGGCATGACAACTTCAATTCCTCAGGGTTCACTAGAGTTTAAATTGGATTTCTAAACATAATACTTTTGGGGGGGTCACACTACTCAGAATGCATTGATGCTGGCTTTAACAGTCATCAAAGTAGAAAATACTGAGAGTAAAAAATATACTGAAATTGGAATTAGGTGATGAAATATTTATCTTTGAAGTGGGTGTTTAAAACTGTATCAATGCCTTTGAATGCAACCTCCTCCTGAATTGCTCAAACTCTAAAAGCTAATGAAATGAAAAATGAAATGAAAAAATACTTTACTTATCCCAGAAGGGAAATTCAATAATAATAGCCGTCGATCTGTTTTATTGTTTTACTGTTCATTTTTAATTTGTGTATCATCAATCTGTTTTATATTAGTTGTTTGACTTTGTATGGCTGCTATCTTGGCCAGATGTCCCTTGTAAAAAAAAAATTCTAATCTCAATGGGACTTCCTGGATAAATAAAGGTAAATAATTATTTTTTTAAAAAACATCAATCTTCAGGAGCAGGTTGAACAGGATTTAAAAAAGAAAATAAACTCAACATTTATTTTAGATTTGAAAGTATTGATAAAGACAGAGCGAATAACACAGTAAAGACTTTTATATTTGTTTTACAAACCCTGAAATGAGCAAAGATTTATGTTGTTTGACATTAGTATAAAAATAAAAACGCCTACAGCTTACCAAAAAAAAAAAGGACTAATTTTGAACACATAAATGAGCAAAAAGAGAAGATCATGTAAACGCTGATATTTTTGATAATGGTGATTTTTAGTATCTCTGGTAAGCAGCATGAAGAATTACTGGCCTTATTTTCTGAACTTTTAGGTCCACCAGCTTTATAGTTTCCACTGAGTCGCCATTAGCTGGCCTCCTCCCACCAGGTGATACCATTTAATCTGATCCCAGGTGAATAAGGGACAGGTGTGTTCTAATGGCACACATCGCGAATCTCTCTCAACAGAGATTTTGGATCATTTTCTCCCGGTTAGGCAAAAATGAAGAGTTAAATTTATTTTTTTTTTTCTTTTTACCATTTTTTTATTTATTTATGGCAGTGTGGCTTGCCTGGGGGAGAAAAGGAAGTTGCACTTAGCAGTTAGAAATTAGTAGCTTAGCAGGCCACAGTGGTAGTAGTTCAGTTCAGGCAGGGCTAAGTTTTGAGCCGGATCACTGAGTCTATCCTGATTGTTCACAAACACCACATCACTTCTCTGGAGGTGAAGAAAAGAAAGGTAGGAACAAACTGGAAGCAACATTAGACTTGAAATGATTTTCTGTTTTATTGTAGGTTAAGCAGAGGTGGGGTGGTTGTTTGTTTTATACTAGAGATGGTAGAAACTATGTCCAGAGAAGTGTTTTTACATTACAAAGAGGAGGACGACTTCTTTAAATTCTGTCACTTTATTTTTTAAAATTATCCTTTACATCAAGTGTAAAGTAAATCGGAATTTGCTTAAAGTATCTCTGTGTATGTATGAGATGAGCCGACATCGTATGCTTAACTTCTGCATATAGTAGTGCCTTGTCTCAGCCTGTTATCTGATCTCTGATAAGGTTAGAAAATCACATCAATGTATTTGCTCATAAATCAGTGGTTTCATGTTGCAACTTTTCACTGCAAGTTTATTTTAATAGCACCAAGTCGCAGCATATGTCATCTCATAGCACTACACACAGTAAGGTGAAGACCCCTGTACAATTTTTAAACAGAAAAGAAATCCAAACTTTCTTCTGGATTTCCTTCAGATTCCATTTGAACAAGCACTTGGTGACAGTTAGAAAGAAACAAAAAAAAATCTTGACTTTCACTGTGTGTAATTGCAGCCCAAGGCAAAGTACAGTTACTGTATTATGTAACTCAGTGTGGCTTGGAGGGGGGGAGAAAAAAAGTTGGAACAGAGAGATTTCATCTAAAGCGTCCTGTTGACCCCATTTGGTAAGAAGTGATTGCGTGGGATTTATTGATTTCCTCCGTCAGTGGTGTTTTATCCTTTTCTTTTTTTTTT